GTCGTCGTGGTCGTCGTGGTCGTCGTGGTGGTAGTGATGGTTGTGATGGTCGTCGTGGTGGTCGTGGTGGTCGTGGTGGTGGTCGTGGTGGTTGTGGTGGTTGTGGTCGTGGTGGTGGTTGTGGTGGTTGTGGTCGTAGTGGTGGTCGTAGTGGTGGTTGTGGTAGTCGTGGTGGTTGTGGTGGTTGTATTGGTCCTCCTGTGCTGGTAGCCCACCACCCCACCGCGCCGGAAACGCGATGTGGTAGTCGTGGATGTTGTGGTGCTGGTGGTGGCAGGGACGCGCTCTGTGGACTTACCAGCGGCGTGTCTGAAACATAATCCGGCGGGGAGAGCCAGAACGGCGGAGGATATGAGTATTCGGACGGCGGAGGATATGAGTAGTCGGGTGGAGGTGCTGCGTCTGGTGCTGATCGTTGTGGTGGTGGTGATGGTGGTGATGGATCAGGGAAGCTGTAGGGCAACGGCATCAGCCAGGTCAGGGATCTACGCAGGGGTCTGTGCATCGTGTCAGGTGCGATTGACTGAAGGAGGTTACGTGGTCCGCCAGTGGACACCTCCGGGGCATGCAAGGGAACTCCGTGCAATAACCCCAACAGCTCCTCCCCGGCCTCTCCCGCCGCCACAGACTGCGTGCTCGCACCCGACACTGCCGTACTTAGAGAGGCTGGCCCCGCCCCAGCAGCAGCAGCCGCGGAGACCCAAGCCGCAAGCAGCATCGTGAACAAGTACAAGGCTCCCTGGACCCAAGAGCCCGCGGTCCGGGATCTGGACGGGGCCCAGGCTCGCGGGTGGTGGCAGTGCGACGACCGCTGTCGATCACTGGGGACAGCGAATGGTAATGGTGCCTGCGAATTTGGGAGTCACCATTGAACGAGTTGTGACGCTAAACCACACGCCGCGAGGTTTTGCGAGTCGGCGTAGCCTAGTCAGTGCAAGATGGAAATAAGGGGAATCTCAAAATATTCACCATACTTAAGAGATCAGCAAAAGTGTAGATATTAGGCCTCTGCGCTATATTGCACATTCGCACGTACAGGTAGGTAACTAGAACTACACGCACGGGCTCGCAAAAGGCTCGGAATCCAGGTGTAGACGGGCGTTAAGTGGAAGTAGGTATCTTGCATAATGCTGTTTATTACGTATGAGCTTGCCGTTGCAGACAGCACCAGACCGCCGACGGCCAATTCAGCGAACCTTAGTCATCGCTATTACGGGCACAATCAGTTGCAACATCCTACCACTTACATCAAACGCTCACCATGTCCGACTATAATTTAATCAGTACTCAAAGCATGCTCCGTTTTTGGTCGCCTAATAAGTACCGCCCTATCCTTATTGCTTGTGCATTCGCCATCGATCGTCCGCGGCCGCGGACGAAGATCTGTACGAACATTGTTCGTTCCCGAGTCGTTCTGCGCGAGAAAGCCTGTTTTGGGGTTTTATAGAACATTTAATATGTTTTTTTGCTAAATAATAACCTGTAATATCCTCCCGTATATGCCTTGTCACAATTACTAGTGCGTCCTGTCTCGCGAGACAGCCTGCAGGACGATCGTCGCCAATTTCGTGTAGTTGCTACAGTGGGCTGTAGCAACCTTCAGCTGCCCAATGGGAGCATTTATCCCCATATACAGACCCATAGGCGCCTACTCCCCGTACAAACGCTGGCGGGCCCGTTATGGCTTGAGCCGCTAATGGGGCTGTCCAGTTAAGGGCCGTAACGGGGGCTATAATGGTGGAGTTGAGGATTGCGGAGGAATAGCCAGTGTAGCTGGCTTGATGTGGATCGAGTAAAGCACGGGGGGGGGGTTGTCGGCATGGCTCAACACTGATTTCACGGAAGCCAGTGGCCTCAACGCCATGTGTAATAATAAGTCCGCGGGCCTGGAGCGAATCCCGGCTGAGTATTATAAGTACGCAATGAGGGAGAGTGAAGGGCAGCGGCCCGTGTTCGCTTTGGCATCGTACGGCATTGTACAACGGTATTGATGGGGGTGAGTGCCCGCGAGGATTCACGACCAGCACCCTTTCCCCTGTCCTTAAGAAAGGTGATGCATCCTGTTGCGATAATTATTGGGGTATTGCGGTTGGGGATCCGTTGTGCAAGCTCTACGCCAACCTTATCGGGAGGCGGCTCACCAGGTTTTGTGAAGCTTCGTGCCGCTAGCCAGGCGGGTTGTAGGCATGGTTTCGGCACTGAGCACCACCTATTTACGCTGCGGCATCTCATTTCTAAGCACACGGCGGCCGGAGCCTAGCCATTATGCAAATTGCCTTCAGTAAAGCGTTTGATTCGGTCGACCACGAGACGCTCTGGCGGTACGGGCTGCATGGTCGTATCCTCAATTCACTGAAGGCCAGCTACGCAGACGTGAAGGTTCGGGACAAGTTGGGTAGTCAGTTGGGGCCTGAATTATCCATGGGCCGGGGCGTAAAGCAAGGGTGCCCCCTTAGTGTCACCCTTTTCGGACCATTTAGGTGTTCGCTCATTACATCGAGGCTCACGATACCGACTGCCGTGTGCACCTTCCTGACCGTTGGAGCATCCTCCGTGAGCAGGGTGTAAGCCTGGTGGGCGGTGAGCTCACCAACTTGCTTTTTGTTGATGATGCGTCATTAGTTGTAACTGTCCACGAGAGAGCCCGATGCTTACTCGGACTCCTCGAGGCCTATTGCAAGGCGACGGGAATGGCCGCGAACGCTGCCAAGTGTGAAGTCCTCATTTTCGGGGGCACAGCACGGGAGCAAAAGCGCCTTTTGGAAGCTGAGTACCGGTTATGTGGGGTGTGTTTGAGGGTACTTAGTGTTTTAGGGTTTTACCTAAAAACCCTAAAACCCTAAGCTGGTAATGAGACGGCATGGTATCTCGGGCTACATTACGGACCAGGCACGCAGTTCTCAGCCTGCACCAAACAACTGCTAGCAGCTGGAAAACAGGCCACGTTTGGCCTCAGTGCCCTGCGTCCCTCGCTTTATCGCGACCTGTCACAAAGGCTGCTCCAATTCCATTGGGCCAATCTTGTGCTGAGGTTCTGGAACTCAATTGTCAAGAGGCCGGGGACACTGTGCCACCGGGCCTTCATTGCCGACCTTGAGCTGGCGCTGGGGGGTGTTGTGCTGAATGCTGGACGAGCAAGGTCCTAGGTTTCCTTAAGAGTTTGGGAGCTGAGCCCCCAGCCGGTCTGCGTGGTGACGACCTCATAGCGCATTACGCCACCGTTAGGTTGCCAGTGGGAAGCATACTTAAAAGAGTTCGGTAGGCGTCTCGACGCCCGTTGGGAGTGCCTGGATAGCCTTAGTGATCCATACACTTTCCCAAGCGGAAGTACCTGCGTCAAGGCGTGTCGCTATCTGAACTGGATGTGGGCGGCCCTTTGCATTTACTTTTTTTGACCCTAAAATCCTTAGGGGCACGCGGCATAAGTGGCTGGCCTACGCTGATACTACCACGCCCCAACGTTTGCATCAAGTGCTTCTGCATTTCCGGTTAGGCTGTTGGGAGTTAGAGTTTAACCGGCCTAACGGCCGTGAGTGCACCGTGTGCATATGCAGGCTTTGCAACTGTGGGGCGGTTGAAGATGAAATGCATGTTTTTGTGGAATGCCCGGCTTACACTAGTACTCGGGATAAGTACGAACGTGACCTCGCATTTCAAGGGCGCGACATGCGCACGATTATGACCGAGGCCCCAACCCTGGCACTAGCCAGGTTCCTCTCGGACGTGTGGGAGACCCGGCATGTTGCCCTAAGGCACGTTGTGCTTAAGCGGACGAGGGAGGACGATGATGGTCCACCATGTAACCGCATTAAAAACTATTTACCGTCCATGGTCCCTCCGGCTTTTATGGACAACCCCGCAACTTGTAACTTGTCCACCATGACTATGGCCATGCACTGCAGGGCAGTCACCGCAACCGCCAGCGCTGGAGGGCTCCGTGTCGTTGGGCCTTACAGCGCCCCTGCCAGCCCCTTGCGTTCGCAATTCACCCACATGCACCCGCACGTGGTTCCCGGGTCGACTCTGGCGACCGCGGAGGCGGCGGAGGCGGAGGTGATGACGGTGCGGTCGAAGCGGGGCCGGTCGGGGGTGCTGGACCTGCAGCACATGCTGGGCGTGGACGTGCCGCCAAGGGTTAGGGGAGCCGTGGTGGGTTAGAGAGCACGTGAGGGTACGGCATCGGTTTTACGGTATGTCATGTCGTCGCCTTGCCGTGTACGGAGCTGTTCGGCCTTGTTTATGCGTGTTTCGCTTTGTGCAGTGTTTCGCTCTGTCGGAGGTGATGTATGACGGGGCAGTTGTCGGTCGTTGAGGGCTGTTGGCATGGTGATAGTAGTGGCGGCGGTTGGTGAGAGGTCTTGCAGCTCCAATCTGCATGCTTCGACCTAAGTCCAATAGTTGTGCGGCAGTTCTATTTGCTTTGTCAGTTAGTTGTGTAGCTGCTGTAGCTGCTGTAGATGGGCGTGTGCTTTTACTTCGCCCTTGGAGGGTCCCGAATAATACGTCTGGGTTTAGTGACGCCGTCCAGGTTGTGTGCGCACTGGTAGAGCAGCAGCAGCATGAGTTGTAGCAGCAGCAGCAGCAGCAGGTGCGAGCGCGCGTGCGATTGGAACACTATGTGGCAGCAACCTGCTGCATGAGTTGGTGCTGTGCAGTGCGCAGGAGTGCGCTGCTGGCAAGGCGTGTGGGTGGACAGGTAGGCGGCAGAGGCGGCATGTGGGTGAGACATGACATCATCATCATCATCAGCAACAAAGATGCAACGTTAGGACTTCTTCTTCGGTGTACGGCAGATAGGTCACGGCTGATGTTCCAGGGTACTACCTCAACATTTTACAAGTTCTTCACACTTGCATGTACATGTGTCTGTGTACATTACACACACCTCGCTACCTACCTACCTCACCCTGCCCTGCCGTACCCTGCCCTACCCTACCCTGCCCTACCTTGCACATTTGCCTCTCAAGGGTTTTTGACTGTTACTCCGAAACCACTCCCACCATAAAGAAAAGTAGGCAAACGTTTCTCTAAAACAGTGTCTCTCCCCCTCTCCCCCTTTCCCTCTCCCTCTCCCTCTATCCCTCTCTCTCTCCACACATATCCATCGTGCCCCCTGCTTGCATACCACCCTCCCTTTCATCATCCACCTCTTGAACCCTCCTGGAGCGCAATCCCGGCAAGTCCTGGTACTCCAGCTATGTGTTTCAGTCCCATTGCCCATTGGGGTTCCCCATAGCCATTCCATGAGGCCAACAACCCCAAGGACAGCCCGAGCACGACACTGCCATGCAAATGGGATTCAGGTAGGTAAGCTGCGCAAACTGCAAACCGGGGGTTTACTGCCGGTTGCACTCAGGCCGCTGTTCCTTCCCTTCGGTCCCGCGCCGCGGTCACCTTATCTCTGGGTGTCTCCACCTACATGGCTTGCACCTCCTAGTGTTCGTGCGTTAGGAGCCCGCTGCTGGACACACGTCTCCAGTGACCCGCCATGCATGGCCACTAGGCCCCCTCGCCACCCATGAGGTTGTCCAGCGCTTGGTTCACATGGCGCCTGTTGGAGACACACAAACATACATACACATGCCGCCGTAGGTGGGTCGGTGATTTTAACAGAGGGCGTCCGACTGAGGCCCAGGCCCCCGACAGACAGAAGGTTACCCGCAGCCACATCCCGCTATGCTCACTGCCCGCCGCATGGCCCTCACCTCCTGTTGTAGTAGTACAAACCCACGGCCACCGCCACGAGCGCCAAAGTCGGCACCACGGCAGCCGCCACAATGGGGCCCGGGGAGGTGCCACTCGACCCGCCTGCGATGGAGAGTGTGGAGAGGGGCCCGGGCACACGAGGGCACATGAGGTTGTGAGGCACTGCCGGTTGAAGGTGCCAGGCGGGTTGCGCTAGGTTGCAGAAACAGGAGTCTTACACGCCCTAGCTTTGGTCTGGCTTGAGCCCCCCTGCTCCGATGCCTGCCGCTGCACAGGGCTCGTTCGCTGGCACAGATTGGGGTCTCTTTAAAGCCGCAGACAGAATGAAACACGTTGCTGATCGCACATAAGGCAAGCAGTAGCAGTGCATTCCGGCAGCTCGATTGGTCCCCGTTGCATCCTCCTCTGAAGCCCTCCAGCGAGCGCACCTTGCAACTGGCTGTTTGGTGCGCCTGGTGGAAGAGGTGGTGGCGTGGTAGTACTGGCATTGGCGGCCAGAGGCGGCATGGGCGCTGGGGGGGTTAGAGGTGGCGGAGGTGGTAGAGGGGTCGGAGATTGCGGAGGTGGCTGAGGTGGGAATGGTGGCGGGTATGGAGGTGGCGGGACGTACGGTGGCATGGGCGCTAGCAGGGTTGGAGGTGGTGGAGGGGGGAGTGGTGGCGGGGGAGGTGGAGGGCGGAGGTGTGGCGGGTATGGAGGTGGCGGAGGTGGTGAAAGGGGGAGTTGTGGCGGGTATGGGAGTGGCAGGGGTGGCGTAGGGGGGGGTGGAGGTGGTGGAGGCGGTGGAAGGGGGAGCTGTGGCGGGTATGGAGGTGGCGGAGGTGGTGGAGGGGGAAGTTGTGGCGGGGGGAGTGGTGGCGGAGGGGTAAGTGGTTCTTCAGGCGGCGACTCAGTCGTGAGGGTTTGCTGGGGGCTCTGTGGGTAGCTAGGGAACAGATCTCTGATTAGCGGCGGCCAATAGGGCACCAGTGGCTCGGCCGGCGGACTATCCAGAGGAGGTTCTGCTGGTGGAGTCTGCGAGGGAGGGTCCGCCTGCAAGGGGGGCGGCGGCAATGCAGGCGGCACTGGAAGCCCGACCAGATCGGGAAGCCGATGTGGAGGGGTGCACGGGGTGATGCCGCCTGCAAATGGGCCAACAGCACCACGGGTGCCGGGGCTAGGGTGGTGGATGGGCATGAATGGGCCTGGACCTTCCGTGGGTGGCAAGGACGCACTCAGTGGACTTACCAGCGGCGTGTCTGAAACATAGTCCCCCGGTGGCGGGAGCCAGGACGGTGGAGGATATGAGTAGTCGGGCGGAGGTGCTATGTCTGGTGGTGGTGGTGGTGGTGGTGGTGGTGGTGGTGGTGGTGGTGGCGGTGCATCAGAGAAGTCATAGGACAACGCCATCAGCCTGGTCACGTTTTCTTGCACCGTGTCAGGTGCCGTTGACTGAATCAGGTTACGTGGTCCGCCTGTGGACACCTCCGGGTCATGCAAGGGAACTCCGTGCAATAACCCCAACAGCTCCCCCCCGGCCTCTCCCGCCGCCACAGACTGCGTGAGCGCACCCGACACTGCCGTACTTAGCGAGGCTGGCCCCGCCCCAGCAGCAGCAGCAGCCGCGGAGACCCAAGCCGCAAGCAGCATCGTGAACAAGTACAAGGGTCCCTGGACCCAAGAGCCCGCGGTCCGGGACCTGGACGGGGCCCGGGCTCGCGGGTGCTGGCAGTGCGACGACCGCTGTCGATCACTGGCGACGTCCTGTGATGTCATCGGCTGCTGGCGTTGCTGTAGCAGAGCAAGGCTGGGGACCCGCTGCTGCTCCGGGGCTGTAGCAGCGACTGGACTGTGACCGGGGCAAAGATGACAGTGACACTTTTTTTCGGTGCTTTCATCCGCGGGTTTGCAGCGTAATGCTCTTGCCCGGCTACAGTAGCTGGGTGTACGGCAGTTGCTGGCTGTGGGACTGCCCTCGGCTCCGTGGGGTATAGGTGGCTTTTCGTGGACGTCACCGTTCGGCCAAACGCGGTAGCAGACCGCCACATGGTGATCAGCCTCGTGAACCTGTGCAGCGCAGCAAGGTAAAGTGCGTCCTGCAAGGGTACAGGAATGCAGTTGTAGGGCCGCGTCCAAGTTGTCCTCACACAGCAACTTGGGCAGATACGCCCGCGCGCGTTGTACGGAGGCTCGCTGAATTGTGTTGCTGACTGCGCTGTGTTCGACCCGGTGGTCCCGGGCCCCGGAGCAATCGGAGCAAGGGAATGCCATACGTGGGTGGGGCCTTCGTTGAGAGCGTCCTTCGTAGGCCTCCTTAGCGCGCAAAGCTAACTGCGACTTCTATAGTTCAGCCTGCGAATTCGGGAGACCACCATTGAACGAGTTGTGACGTTGAAAACACACGCCGCGAGGTTTTGCAAAGGTCCGAGAATGGGCGTAGCCTAGTCTGTACGAGATGGAAATAAGGGGAAATTCAAAGTATTCACCATAATTAAGAGATCACCAAAAGTGTAGATATTAGGCCTCCGCGCTATGTTGCACATTCGCACGTACAGGTAGGTAACAAGAACTACAGGCACGGGCTCGCAAAAGGCTCGGCCTCCAAGTGTATATGGGCGTTAAGTGGAAGGAGGTGCTCTTGATAATAATATTTAATTTCGCATGATCTTGCCCCTGCAGACGACCGCAGACCGCCTCGCGACTTCGACGGCAATTTCAGCGAACCTTAGTCATCGCTGTTACGGGCATAATCAGTTGAAACATCCTTATACTTACAACAAAGACCCACCATGTTTGACTATGACTTAATCAGTGCTCAAATCATGCACCGTATTCGGTCTCCAAACGATGAGCCATGTCACGACTAGTTACGGTCATGTCGATATCCATGTTTTCCTGCCTATATTTTTACAATGCTGGACTTTGCCAAAGCACCCAGATGAAACCTTAATAGGGACCAGTCCATCCTTGGATGGATGGATATTACAAGCAACCCGGAAGTTTCAAACCAACCCAACTGTTTAAACGAACCCGGAGGCTCATGAACCGCTTTAAGTCGTGCCATATAAGAGAGAGGGAATAATAAGTACTGGTTCACTCCTCTCCATCGCCCTTATCAATAAGAGCTAAAAAAACAAGTACGCTATAATGCCAAGTCGGTACCAGGATGTAACGTGCTCGTGTCGTATATAGCGAAACATGTCATGAATGGCCTTCGCGAGCCCACGCTGATCATCCTATCCTTATTGCTTGTGCCTTCGTCATCGATCGCACGAAGATCTTTACGAACATCGTTCGTTCCCGAGTCGGTCTGCGGGGGCAAGCTTAGTTTTTGGTTTTACAGGTAAAATCTAATAATTTGTTTCTTTGCGCTGATTACCACTAACTGGTAAAATCCTCCCGCCATGGGCCTTGCCACAATTTGTATGTGAATTTTTTAACGAACACCAAATGGACTCTAGTGTGTGTGTGTGTCTCTGTGTGTGTATGCGTGTGTGTGTATGTGTGTGTGTGTGTGTGTGTGTGTGTGTGTGTGTGTGTGAGCTGTTGGGTTTTATTTCCGCGTGTTTCGCTTTTTTGTCCGTCATTTTTGTCCGTCAATTTTCCAGTCCGAATGGAGGAATAGGATTTTAGCCGCGGGAATAAAAGTATTCCGAATCTGTAAGGCGCTAGGGGGGGCTCCGGCCCCCCCAGAACCCCCCCGATGAGTTACAGTTTGGTTCGTGCAAACGCCGGGTTTGGGGAATGCTGCAACACACGCACACCACAGTCTCTCGAAAGAGGTGTCTCGTACACGCCAGGAAGCGGCGCGCACTTAGACGCGCGTTGACAGGAGCCTCGATTGCACGGGCGACTGTTGGAGAGCCCAAGCAAACACAGACCAGTTAACCCCTACTCAAGCACTGATCGAATAGAGTCTTAGCTGCAGTGCCGGGGTCGCTGCTGCCATCAACCTCGACGCCCGTGTTTCCTGGCCCATCGCCATTGTCTCCATATGGCGAACGTTGACGTTTGGCCCGCTCGCTGTTGACAACCGGCGTGGCGTCATTGTCATGCAGCCAGCCGACGACAATGACGCTACTCCGGTTGACATGGACGCCATTTCGACGAAACTATATTTCGACCGTAGTCCATTTCGACCGGAGAGGAACGCAGTGGGGATTATTCGGGGGATCTCACGGGCAGGAAGGAGAAGGGTATGATGTGCCGTACAAGCTGCAGCCACAGCTGCAGCAGAAGGCACGGAAGGGCGGTGAGGCGGCGCCGGCGCTGTCGGGGTATACTGGTTGTGCGGCGGGTCTGTTTGCGTTGTCAATTAGTTGTTTAGCTGCTGTCCCTGCTGTAAACGTGTAGGCTTTTATTTCGGGTTATGAATACGTCTGGCGTTTAGTGACCCCGTCGAAGTTGTGTGCACACTGGTAATGCAGCAGCAGCAGCAGCAGCAGCAGCAGGTGCGAGTGCGAGTGGGATCGGAACACTATGTGGCAGCAGCCTGCTGCATGAGGTGGTGCTGTGCGGTGCGCAGGAGTGCGTGGCCCGTAAGGCGTGTGGGTGGACAGGTAGGCGGCAGAGGCGGCGTGTGGGTGAGACATGACGGCAGCAGCAGCAGCAGCAGCAGCAACAAAGATGCAACGTTACGGCTTCTTCTTTGGTTTACGGCAGATAGGTCACGGCTGCTGTTCGAGGGTCCTACCGCAATATTTTAAGCTCTTCCCACTTGCATGTACATGTGTCTGTGTACATTTCACGCACCTCGCTGCCTGACCTACCTCACCCTGCCCTGCCGTACCCTGCCGTACCCTGCCGTACCCTGCCGTACCCTGCCCTACCCTGCACATGTGCCTCACAAAACATACTCCAAAACCACTCCGACCATAAAGAATTGTACACCAAATGTTGTCTGAAACAGTGCCTCTCTCCCTCTCCCCCTCTCCCTCCCTCCCTCTCTCCCTCTCTCTCACCATCCAGCCCCCTGCTTGCATACCGGCCCCCCTTTCATCATCCACCAAGCGAACAACCCTCATGGAGCGCAATCCCGGCAAGTCCTGGTACTCCAGCTATGTGGTTCAATCCACATTGCCCATTGGGGGTCCCCATAGCCATTCCACGGGGCCAAGAACCCCAAGAACAGCCCGAGCACGGCACTGCCATGCAAACGGGATTCAGGTAGGTAAGCTGCGCAACCTGCAAACCGCGGGTTTATGACCAGTTGAGACCTGTGCAGGCCGCTGTTCCTTCCCTTCGGTCCCGCGCCGCGGTCACCTTATCTCTGGGTGTCTCCACCTACATGGCTTGCACCTCCTAGTGTTCGTGCGTTAGGAGCCCGCTGCTGGACACACGTCTCCAGTGACCCGCCATGCATGGCCACTAGGCCTCCTCGCCACCCATGAGGTTGTCCAGCGCGTGGTTCACATGGCGCCTGTGAGAGACACACAAACATACATACACATGCCGCCGTAGGTGGGTCGGTGGGTTTATCAGAGGGCGTCCGACTGAGGCCCAGGCCCCGACAGACAGAAGGTTACCCGCAGCCGCGTCCCGCTATGTGGCCCTCACCTCCTGTTGTAGTAGTACAAACCCGCAGCCACCGCCACGAGCGCCAAAGTCGGCACCACGGCAGCCGCCACAATGGGGCCGTGGGAGGTGCCACTCGACCCGCCTGCGATGGGGAGTGTGGAGAGGGGCCCGGGCACACGAGGGCACACGAGGTTGTGAGGCACTGTCGATTGGAGGTGCCAGGCGGGCAGCCCTGGGTTGCAGAAACAGGAGTCTTACGCGCCCTAGCTTTGCTCTGGCTTGAGCCCCCCTCCTCCGATGGCTGCCGCTGCACAGAGCTCGTTCGCTCGCAAAGATTGGGGTCTCCCTAGAGCCCGCAAACAGAATGAAACACGTTGCTGATTGCACATAAGGCAAGCAGCAGCGGTGCATTCCGGCGGCTCGATTGGTCCCCGTTGCGTCCTCGTCTGAAGCCCTCCAGGGAGCGCACCTTGCAACTGGCTGTTTGGTGGGCCTAATAGAAGGGGTGGTGGCGGGGTCGTACTCCACTAATCCCTGCTCGTACCGCGGCATGGGACCTAGCGGGGCTGGAGGCGGCGGGGTCCTACGTGGCGGAGGTT